CGCTGCAGACCGCTGGCTCACCGGGCGCCCAGCTCCCCAGCTGCCTGGCTCCCCGGCCTGCCTCTCCGTGTCTCAGCTGCGTTCTGGTGTCCTGATCCTGTGCCCCATAACTCAGCGGTCCCCAGCGTTGACCGGCACCAGGGACCGGTTTTGTAGGGACCGGTTTTGTGGAAGATGATTTTCCACAGACCAGGGGTTGGAGGGCTGGGGGGCGGGGGACAGGAAGCGGAGCTCAGGCGGTAACGTGAGCCAAGCTCCATTTGCTGGCCACAGACAGGCACCGGTCTGAGGCCCCGCGGTGGGGGTTGGGGGCCTCCCCCTGCCCCCCGCTGTCAATGGCCTCTCAAGTGGCAAGCCCCACATCCCTGCAAAGTCTCCCACAGAGCAGGAGCTTGTCTCTCTCGAATCGGCCACCTGACGACAGCCCCCAGCCCCGACGGGCAGGTGTGGGGTCGGAGGTGAATAAACACTTCGTCTGCCTGTCGGCACGGCATGCCCGTTGCTGACGCACACAGGCCTGAAAGTGGGGATTTTTATTTATTTATTTATATATATTTAAGATTTTATTTATTTTTAGAGAGAGGGGAAGGGAGAAAGAGAGGGAAAGAAACATCAATGTATGGTTGCCTCTTATGTGCCCCCTACTGGGGGCCAGACCTGCAACCCAGGCATGTGCCCTGACTGGGAATCGAACCCGGGACTATTTGGTTCACAGGCCCGTGCTCAAGCCACTGAGCTACACCAGTCAGGTGAAAGTGGGGATTTTAAACTGAAACTCCTCACCTCCCCACTTGGCCTCCTGAGGGTCCCTGCCCCCACCGGTCCTGAGAGAGCCACTCAGAGGTTCGCAGCTCGGGGCTAAGCCAGGCCCCTGTCTTAGGACCCTGCTCCTCCGGGGCAGCTTCTTATTCCGCCTCTCCTGTGGCCCCACCTGGGACCTGCCCCCTGGGACCTTCCCCCACTGCCCCTCCCCCCACCCCCGCTCCTGTCCAGGACCAGCCTGCTGGCATTCACCATCCATCACCGGGTCGTCACTCTCTGTCCCCTGGGTGTAGCTGCTCGTGGGTGAATCAGCTGCTAGGTGCTCGCGCTGGAACCGGCACCGGGAGCAGCCCCGGATGGCACCAGGACAGACACGCCAGGCGGGCACGGGCCTCTTCCGCCGTCGCCGCCTCGGGGGCCGGCCGCAGAAATGACTCCCGCTGAGTCCGGCAGGACAGCCCCCTCGGAAGGGCAAAGACGAGGGCTTCTCTGGGTGCTGCAAGCCCCGGAAAGATCGGGCAGCACCCCGTCATTCTGTCTGCGGCACCAGCAACCACGTGCCCCCTAGGGCGCTCTCTGGGGGAAGCCCTGACCGGAGCTGGAGCTCCGGCTGCCAAGGAAACACCTCTCCCAGGCTCGCCCAGCAGGTGCCCGGTTTGTGGCCAGCGGGGGGACCGGAAGGGATGCAGGCCTGTCCTTCCCGGCCCGTCCTGCCCTCTCCGCCAGCCTGGGAGGGAAGCCACATCCCGGCGTAGGCTGTCACGTTGGAAACGGCGCCGTGAGGGGCCTCCATCACACGGGGCCTCAGACAGCGTCCCCTGGCTCTCCAGGGTCAGGGTCAGGGCCGAGTGCTGGACCGGCCTCTCCTGGGCTGCACACGGACCCCTCGACTAGCAGGGCGCAGGACCCTTGGACCGACCCTCCCACCCAGCCTGCCCCACGGGCTAGAGGAGCAAGTGTCCACCACCTCCCATTGCCGTAGGAAACCCAGAGTCCGGGCAGCAGAGCCAGGGCCTGAGAAGCCCATGGACCCCTAGACCCTGCTGGCTGGTGTTGGCGGGCTCGGTCAGCCTGCTGGCTCCGAGCAAACCCCCTCTTCCTCCCCACCCCAGCTCCCCCAGCTCCCCCTCCCTCCTGCAGGCTGCCCTCCTTGGCGAGGCCTCTCCACCCTCAGCTCAGACCCAGACCGTCCCGGTCCCCCCAGGGATGGCCAGGGCCCAGCGGCAGAGGTAGCAGGACCACACTGAAGCATCGCGGCAGTTAAGGGAACCGCAATGAGGTCGCTGACAGGCTTTGGGGGCGGGGGCGGGTTCTGTGCGGACCACGCGTGCACGGACTTCCTTGTTGGGTCCCACGGCCCCTCCCGGTGGGGGCTGCCGGTGCCCACACGCTGCAGACTGGGGCGCCGCCAGCGCAGGTGGCGTCCCCGAGACCACAGCTACCACCCAGCCAGGACAAGAATTCTGGCCACCAGGCCTCGGCACTGCCCACGACGCAGGTGCTCAGAAAACGTTTGCTGAGTGAACGCACGAGTGGCGCACAGAACTGCAGAGTGCTGGAGATCCTTGCAAGGCGACGTTCATTCTTGGTGGTCATTTGCGCCTCGGGTGGGCTGTACGAGGGCCTTCCACGGACAACCCCTTCTCCAGACACCTGCTTCTCCGTTGCATGGTTGGCACTTTGGGCATAATGGCAACAACGGATCCCTTCCCGTTTCCGTTTTCACTTTGGCCCCGATGCTGCCACCCGTGGCGATATTTCCGTCCCTTCTCTGAGAGTCACCGTGTCCTTGGGCTGGGAGGGACCCCGGGCTGACAGTGTCCCGGTGGAGAGAACGGGGCTTTGTTTTTCACAGAACAACCGAGGTGTTTGCCATGAATCATGCACGACCCAGGCAACTGTGCACAGCTGCTCTAAATGCTTCTCGGTTGCTAGGAAACCGCCCCACCACCAGAAGCCGCTGAGCCTTTGCTCAGCTTTCATCAGGTGGTTGAACCTGTGCAGGCCCCGGGCCAGCGCGGGGGGTGGGCAGGCTCCAGGCCGGCAGTCTCGGGGGGGCGGGGGGGTGCAGACCTAGTTCCGGTGAGGACCAGTGGGGGCTGTGGCCGGAGAAACCCACCAGAATGCACCTGCAGGGACCTGTGGTGGGTGGCTCAGGCGGCAGTGAGTCCTGGTCCCCATGCGGGGCCACACTGCCTGGGGTCTGATCCTGGCTCCAGGACTCGCAAGTTTGCGGCCGTGGGCCAGTCACCCGCCTCTTTGTGCCTCAGTTTCCTCATCTGTAAAATGAGGGAGACCGCGGCCTCCCGCTAGGGTGACTGTGCAGGTGGAAGGAGTGGGGTGACGGGCACTGCCCCCTCAGTGGGGCACCTGGGGCAGGGCGCGGCTCTCAGGTGTCCCCAGTTAACACAGTAATGGCGCCGCGTGTGGGGGAGGGAGTGCCGGCAGCGTGCCGGGCCCATCACCACGGGGCCCACGTGCTAGGCCGGGCAGAGCCCAGCGGGTGTGGGGGGTCTCAGAGCTCTCAGGGCTGAGGACCGACAGGGTGACAGTGACCTTTCCATCAGGGCGCACAACGCTCTGCAGCTGGCAGAGGAGCGGGGAGGGGAGCGGAGCTGGAGCACTCCCCTCAGGGGCCTGGCCACGGCCCCGAGCCCAGGGCCGTCCACCTGGGTGGGCCCAGCGGGATCCAGCCCGGCCGCCCCGCCCAGAGACCCAGCTCCCCACAAGTCCCTGACCTTCTAGGAGCCCCTGCCTGCCCCTGTGTTTCCCCACCAGGCTGCATGCCCCCCGAGTACTTCCGGGAGCTCCCCAGTGGGGCCACACCCTGCCACCCTCACGAAGGGCGATGTGGCGTCCCATCCCCCCTCTGCTGCCCACTCTCGGGTGTGTGACATGGGCCAGTGGCTGGACGTGCCTGAGGGCGCTCCCCCGTGCGGGCCGCTGCTGCCCTCACCGCACGCCACGCCTACTCTCTTGCCGTCTGTGGTCAGAAGTCTCACCTGGGGCCCCTGGGCTCAAGTCCCAGCGTGGACGGGGCTGGTGCCTTCCAGAGGCCCTTTCTAGCTCCCCGAGCCGCCTCATGCCCCTCCCTCCTCCTTCCCAGCCAGGGTGGCAGGCGGGGCCCTCAGCCCCACCTCCCCCGCCCCCTCCCATTGATGCGGCTCCCTCCGAGCACGGCCAGCGAGGGGCTCCGCTTCCCAGCGCGCTCGGGGCAGGCAGGTCCCCCTGGGGACCCGGGCTACTCTCCCCACCTCGGGGTCCACACGCTGAGTCCCGCCTCAAAAGGGAGCCTAAAATGAGATGACACATCGCGTCCCCCGCACAGTGGCACCACGGGATCAGGAGTGGCAGTGCCCTCTGGCCCACAGGTGCGGCTGGGAGAGGTCGGCCTCACGTCCAAGGTCACACGGCCAGGAAGCGGCTTTCTCCCACTTCACACCCCGTCCTGAGGTCTGCGTGGTTGATGGGGAGTGGAGCTGCCGGAAGCCCCAGCAGCAGACCCTGGGGAAGGGCTCCCGCCTCCCTCCCGCTGGGCCTGGGTGTGAGCGCCCCTTGATCCCGCAGGGGCGGGGCCCAGACTGCGAGGAGGGGCGCCCACATGCGTCCCCACATGTCCTCATTCACCTCGGCCGGGGCAGCAAGGGGGGAGGGGCCTCTCTGACACCCTGTGGTCCCTGTCCTTTCGGGCCCCCATTCCCTGGGACACGGAGGAACGGGGGAGGGGCCTTCAGGGGACCCCTGGATTAGGAGGCAGCCAGCCCAAGCTCAGAACCCAGCCCTGCGCACGCTAGCTGCGTGGCCTCCAGCAAAGGCCTTGACCTCTCCGAACCTCAGTGCCTCCTCTGTGCCGTGTTCTCGTGCTGGACGTGAGGGTCCAAGTAGATCGTGGGACAGTGTGAGGATCTTTGGGAATCGGGGCGGGTTACGCTCACTGGCTCCGAACAACCACGAGTGTTGGGGGCTTGCATGCCCAGCACTGGGCTCCAAGGCCGTATCTCGCCCCTCCCCCAGGATGGCGAGGTCGATGCTACTATGAGCCCCATGTCCCCGGGGAGGACCTCAGAGCTCGGAAAGATCAGAAGCTGCCTTAGGAGCTGGAGGCAGCAAAGCCTTGAGGGAGCCCAGGCTCCCCCAGCGCCCCTGTGCGCCCCCCTCCGCCGTAGGGCCCCCCCCCGCCACAGGCCCCACCGCCCTGCCCGGGGCCTCCTCAAAGACAAGCGCCACGCCGAGCCTCATTTTCGATGTAACATTTGTTATTTTATTGGAAAAAGCTGGTATTCACATATTTATAGTTTTATTCAACAGTTGGCTACTTTGTGAGACACCGAAGAAAACAACGCACCTGTGAGTTACGGAGGCCGGGAGGGCCCGACCCTCCGACTCCGCCAGCGCGGGCTGCGCGCGCCCGAGAGCTCCGTCCTCGGAGGGAACGAAACCAAAAACAGAAACCACCCCACCACTTCACAATGACGATGAGCACGCGCGCCACACAGTCCCCGGGGGCAGGACACCCGGCGGAGAGGGGGCCCAGGGCCCACGGCTGCTCCGCGGGTCGTTCCGCCGTTTCCCGCCTCGCCCCCGCCCCGCCCACCTCTTCTCGACACACATTTTATTCTTCGCGGTTTGCTTTGGCCATTACTTCCCAGGCTTTTCTTCGAAAAAGACCCCTTTTTTTTTTCCTGGTCCTTTTTCTATGTTTCTTTTCATTTTGGTATCCAAAGTTTAAAACAGGTTAAGGAACTAGGAGCTGTATTAAGACCTCGGTTCGAATCCAGCGTAAGTAAGACACGCACCTGGAAGAAGGAAAGGGCGAACCCGCTGTCTGATCCGACTGGACAGTCCCCTCCAGCTGCCGGCGCGAGCTGCCTCTCGGCGGCCGACTCACGCAGGGGCGTGGGCGGGGCCGAGCACCCCCGGGAGTGCGCAAGGCCCTCCGAGCTGGACTGTGGCTTCAACAAGGTTCCTATACAAGCGACCACATTCGTGAGCCTCTTTACAAAGGGGGGAAAGAACGACTCGAACCCCGTGATTGCCCCTCTCAGTCAGGATATGTACATATAATACTGTCCAGAGGGCCTGGGTTGTACAGTGACATAGAAACAAACATTCTTCATTCGTGTTGATTAAAAAAAGAACCCCGGGGCCTGTTTCCCTGTGTAAGGACCGCAGGGCCGGAGCTGAGTGAACATGCGTTTTGTGCTTTGACACACACAAAGGTACACCGTCATCCACGGAGAAAAGTCTCGCGTGGGTCTGTTTCCTGGGCAGCAGGTGGGTGGGTGGGTGGTGGGGTGGGTGGGGCTGGCCTTGACCTCTGTGGCCCTGGGGGAACTGTCCTGAGACTGAGTGGCCAGGAAAGAGAAGGTGCCCTAAAATGGCCATAACATGCAAGTTTCTGTTGGAGGCGGTTCGGTGCATCGGGAAAGGAGCCAGGTGCAGCGTGGGTGAAGGGGGACCACGGGATGGGGGGACCACGGGATGGGGAGGCCATGGGATGGGGGGACCATGGGGCAGGCCAGACTTCTGGCACCATCAAACAGGGCGAGGAGCCTCCAGGGCCTTCTCCGTTCCCCCTCCTGCGCCTCGGTGCCCCCAGGACCCTGTCACTGTCCCCCGTCACTGTCCCCCCTGCTCTGTCCCTCTTCACACTGAAGGTCACCTTCCAGGGGAGACTGTGGTTTCACTGTGAGCCACGACGCGGGTAGGAAAGCGCCCGTGGGAAGGCCCGGGCGGGCTCTGGATGCCACCTCGTGGTTGGCACGTGCCATGGGCCACCCGTCAGTCACTGCAGGGCCTCCATCTCCTGTCCCCGTTTTCGCCCCCCGCACCTGACTCGGACAGAGCAGTGAGTGGTTGGTGTGTGTGTGAGGAAGGTTCCAGAAGGTCAAGGACAGAGCCAGGTGAGTTCCCACGAAGTGTCCAGTGACGGATGAGGAACGAGGGTGCACAGGGGGACCGGGGGACCGGGCCCACGGCCGACGCCGCAGCGAAGTTGGGTTAAATGGGGTGAGAGTTACAGGCGCACATGGGAAATGCCAGCCCCGCCCTTTCCTACTCGGAAACCTAACAGACCGGCGATACTGAAAGACACTGAGAGAACCCAAAAGACAGGCTTGCAGCCCCCAAGTCTCAGCATTTGAACTCACAATCCAAAATGCAAAGGTGAGACCCTCAGCTCTGAGACAGTGGAGACCACCCCTTTTACGATCAGAGGACCCCTGGCTGGCTCGTCTGAGCTTCCTTCGCTGCCCCCAGAGGCCCGCGATCCGGGACCACCGAGGCACGAGAGTAACAGCTCCCATTGGCTCCCGCTGGGCTTAAAAGAAACCGCTGAAGTGAAAAAGTAACCTGGAGATGTAAAAACCCTAACAATGTGGTAAAGACCGCAGGCAGGTCAAGAGCAGGAATGAAAGAACCCTGAACTTGGAGGCCGACCCTCACGTCCCCGCGTTTCGACCTGCAGCTGGGACGGCTTTGCGTCCCTCCCTTGACACAGGTCCCAGCAAAGGCGCCTGGCCCAGGGAAGCCCCGGGAGGGGCTGGGCCCAGGGGCCACGTCCTCTCCTCCAGTGGCTGTTCAACCGTCGTGTCGGGGACAGCCACCAGGGGCGGGCTCCCGGGACGGGGCTCTGCGCCCGCCTAGTGCATCTCGGAGTTGACCTTGTCCTGGAAGATGTACAGGTTGTTGGTGGCCGCGATGGCGATGATGTTCTCGGCCGGGTGCCAGGCCGTGTGCAGGATCTTCTTGGTGAAGTCCAGGCTGTCCACGCTGATGTCGTCGCGCCGGCGCTTGCCGCCCACGCACACGCGCCGCGGCTTGAGCACCGCCCGCGGCTTGCTGCTCTCCCTCGAGGCCTCCAGGGTCACGTCCCGCTTGGTGTTGCGGTCGAACATGCGGAAGAAGTTGTTGTAGGCCCCGGTCATGATGACGCTGGCGGAGAAGGGGAGGAGTCAGGCGCGCGGGGCGCGGGAAAGGGAGGCCCGCCCCTTCCGGAAACACACACCCGGGGCTGCGGGGCCCTCCCTCCCCGGAGAGGGAGCCCGCGGGAGGGAAGGGGATGGGACCCGGGGCCGGGCCTGCCCCAGAGACTCCTTTCTCTCGGGGTCTCGTCCTCAGACCTCAAGGCCAGGAACCAAGGCCCCGTTAGGGCTCTGCCCCGAACGCCACGGCGCTGTTCTCCCGCCCCTCTTCCCCTCTGCCCCGGAGCGAGAGCCCCGGACTTTCGGGAGGGGGGAGCGGGGGGCACCCGACAGTGGGGCAAAGGGACGAACACAGAAGACTCTGGGCTGCACGCCCGGGGCTGACCAAGGGCCACCTGGGAGTCGGCCCGGCCCGCCCTTCCCGCAGGACCCGGGGGACCCTCTGCTCTCTGCGCGGCGGGGTCCGTGAACGCTGTTTGCACGCGGCCCCCGTGCAGCTGCTCACGGGCCGGCCCCACCCTGCTAAGGAGAAGGTTCCGTCTGTCCATCCACCAGGAAACCAGGGGGCTGCCCTGGCTGGCGTGGCTCTGGGTGGGCGTCGCCCCACAAAGCGAAGGGGCACTGGTTTGACTCCCCGTCACGGCTCACGCCTGCGCTGCGGGTCCGGGGCCTGTGTGAGAGGCGGCCCGGGGATCCATGTTTCTCTTTCACATCGACGTTTCTCTCCCTCTCCTTCCCCTCCCTCCCCCTCTCTCTAAAGATAAATAAAATCTTTTTTGAAAGAAAGAAATCAGGGGGCTCGCCTCTCTCCTTTCTCAGCATCAGGCGGCCCTTGAAGCTCTGGCTCCCACAGGAGGAACCTGCAGGCGGGCGGGGGCTGGAGGGGGGGGGGCCTGGCGCGTTCCGGACAAGAATTCCCGGTTGGTTCCCCACCATGGGCGGCTTGGGGGGGAGGGCCCTGCTGCGCAGCGGGCGCGGTGGCCACAGGCGGCCAGAGCCCTTTGACACCCAAACTGTTTTCTCTGACCTCATGTTCAGAGATCAGCGGGTAGGTGTTTGGGGGCGATGGGGCTAAGGCCCGTCTGTAAACTGGCTCTCCTGTGGAAGTCCTGGGGTGTGGGGGTGGACCCCGGCGGTGCTCACGCGGGCAGCCAGGCCTCTGAGCGAGGCGGGGCCAGCGGGGCGTAGAGGGCCTCTCGGAAGCTCTCTGGGTGGGGCTGGGGGCCTCGGGTGCGGGGGGGGGGGGGGTGCATGCCCGGGAAGGGCACCAGGCAGACAGTTCTGCTGTCTGAGATCTGTCAGCTCCCGCGAAGAGGGGAGGGTGGGCGGAGAACTCGAATGTATTTTCAGGCTGCGTTCTTTTCTGCTCTGAGATTCTGCCTCTAACACCTCGGTTCACGTGGCAGAACAGCTGGTTGCCGAGACGATTCAACGAGGTGTGTGGAGGGGGGCACACAATGGCGGGTGGGGTGCCCGTGAGTGGGCAGAGCCCACCCCGACTGCTGGGGGAGGAGTGTGCCTGCCGCCCCCCCACTCACCAGCCGGAAGGAGGCCCTCTTTGCTCTCAAAGGAAGGCTGGGCTGGCTCTGACGTCCCCTCAGTCATGGCCCGGGGGGGCCTCACTGCAGTGAGACCCCCCAGGGAGGTAGCAGGGAGTCCCCTGAGCCTGAGGACACCCCAAAACCAGGGAAGGGCTGGCGAATCGGTCATTGGCAGGGGCGTGAGGGCCGGCGGCTGCCCCTCGGCGTCCCGGCACCTGGCCATTTTGGCCAACAGGAGGCCACCCAGTGGGGGCCCTTGGCCAGGTCATCCCCGGGAGTGGCCTCGACCTTCACTGGGGGCTCGGGACAGAGGACAGAGAGCAGGCTGGAAGGAGGGAGTGGCAGCGAAGTCCCCAACCCAGAGTGGTCCTCCTGGAAGACACACTCTGGCCTTAGGACCTGGGAGAGCCCAAGCAGGACCTGGGGACCTCTGTGCTGGTGGTTTCTGTGGGCAGGGCTTCCCAAAGGCCACCCTGGGGGACAGAGCCGGGGGCCAGGGAGGCCGACGTTGCAGCCGAGGCTGAGGACTCCAGAGAGGCCACACAGCCCTCAGTGCCACGGTGTCCCTGGGCCGGGGAGGGGGGAGCAGGGGCTCAGGGTTAGCCCTGGCAATAACGAGTGGACACCGGGGGGCAACTGTGGCCTGTCATGGACATGCTGGTCCCCAAGCAACCATGGTGACAGAGGGGAGCCACTCCCCCGGGGGCAGGAGAATAGTGTGCATAGGGGTGTGTGTGTGTGTGTGTGAGAGAGAGAGAGAGAGAGAGAGGGTGGGGGTCAGAGAGAGAGAGAGAGAGAGAGAGGGTGGGGGTCAGAGAGAGAGGGTGGGGGTCAGAGAGAGAGAGAGAGAGAGAGAGAGTGGGGGTCAGAGAGAGAGAGGGAGAGAGGGTGGGGGTCAGAGAGAGAGAGAGAGCGCAGCCAGCACCAACTCTGACCTCCCGGCCCCGGGAAGCACCCCACCAGGCCTGTCTGGAGCAGACGACAAGGGGGGACGCGCCTGTGGCCCTGACAGGCACCCACGGGGTCAGGCTCTGCGCCTGGCTGGGTCGCACCTGCCGGGATCCCACAGGAAATGGAGCAAAGTGGCCGGCGCTGACCGGCCCCACGCCCGTGGGACCAGCAGTTTCAGAAGCGGCTTCTGCTTTCCCTCCTTCCTGCCCCCGCCCTGCTCCCCTGCCACGCCGTGCCGGCCACAGGACCGTGGGGTGACATGCTGGGGCGACAGCGACAGAAGGCGGGCTCTTCTCTCCTTCCCCCAGGGGGGGCCAGGCCCCCAAGCCCCGCCCTCTGACCTCTCGCCCTGGGATCTCCACCCCAGCCCAGGCCGCCCTCTTAGGCAGCCGACACCCAGAGCCTGTGGAGAAGAGGGGACCCCTGGCAAGCCCATCGGGCCCCACAGCAGCCCCGGCCGGGTGCACTCAGCCACCTGGGGTGGGTGCCGCCCTGGTCCTCAAGCAGGCCCGCTGGTCAGGGGTCGGCCGGGAGCTCAGACGGGGGGTCAGGAGCCAGGCAGGGCAGCCCCAGAGGCTGGGTGACCTGAGGGCTTGCTCTCCCCACCCGAGTTACTGGCCCCGACAGGCAAAGGCTGGCTCCCAGGCTGGGCAGTGCGGGCAGGTGCTGGGCCCTGGCCAGTTCCCCTCAGGTCTGTCCCAGCTCTGCTTTCCCACCTATAACATGGGGGGCGGGTGCCGAGGGCCCCCGGCCCCGGGTGGGGTGTGCTGGGTAACGCAGGCAGGCACTGAGAAGGGTGCTGGGCTCTGGAGACCCCGTCTCCTCAATGCCAACAGGTGCCTCTCATTCTAATCCTCGTGGCCGGAAGCCACGCTGACTCATCGGAGCCGGGAGACCAGAGAGGCAGTGGGAAGGCTCCGGGGGCGGGCTGGGCCCTGCCTGCCGGGGGCTGGGAGCCCGCGGGCCACACCCGGCCCTCCACAAAGGCTGCGCTCCTTTGTTCTTTAGCAAACACAGCACACCCTGGGGGTGCTTTCACACAACACCCATTCTTCTCCCGATAATTGCGGGGAAGCGAGAGTCAGACCATTCAAGTGAGCTGCACCCACAGTTACTAATCCTGGTTCTGTGAAGGGGCAGGACCCAGGCGACAGCTCCCGGGGAGACAGAGCCTCCTCCCCACCTGCAGGAAGAGGGTCTCTCCCCTGGGGACGCCAGGTCCCGGCCCTGAGCAAACCACGGCAGGCATTTGTAAATGCTCTCTTATACCCCAGAGGGTCCTCAAACAGGGCAAAGGGCGGTGCCTGCGCTGGCTTGCACCGGGACAAGTTGCTCCCCTCTGCGGGCCTCGTTTTCCTCATCTGCATGTGGGGTCCGGGGCCTGCCCACTCCCGCTGCCCAGCTCTCCTCTCTCCGCTGCTGGGAAGGGGCCTGCCCCACCCCCGTGCTTCTGGAGGGTCTGTCGACCAGAGAGCTCCACCTGTCCCCGGCCGGCCCACTGTGACGTGTTCTAATGCTGTCCAGGCTGACTGGTCAGAAAGGGAGCATGTGACCCAAACAAAGCCAATCAGATCCTTTTGTGGGAATTTTTCCTAGGCCCTGGTAGGGGTTATGAGGACGAGGGAGGGGCACCGTTTGGGGTCATCACCCCCCAGCAGCAAGGGGGCAATGTCTCCAGCAGGAGACGATGAAGCTACAGTGTAAGGAGACGCAGTGAGGAGCCCAGGGGAGACGGGACAGAGAGGAGATGGCCCCCAAGCCACAGCCCTGGGGTAGCGGGGCCCGGAACTGCTCAGAACCAGCTTAGGCTTGTCTGACTCCTGCAGCCAGAAGACGCTTTGTTGACACAAATCCCTTTCTCTCAGGCAGATCAAGGAGAGCTTCCTAGAGGGGGTGGCATTTGAGGTGGGTCTTGGAGACCCAGTGGGCAACCGGGGTGGGCAGCAGACCCCTGCATGCAAATCACCGGACCGTCCACGGCCAGTGCGGACCCGTGGCCTTGCCAGGAGCTTCACACACCAGCCCTCAGCCTCAGGGAGGTCCCGGAAGGCCACCTTCCGGGTGAGCAGGCTCAGGAGGTCCAGGGGCTTACGCTGGGCTGGAGAATGCAGGAGTGTGGACCAGAAGTCCACACTGTCAAGGCGTGGACTTGACAGTCAAGAAGTCAAGGCGTCAGACCAAAACCTTTCCTCTACCCCAGGCTGCCACCTAAGTCTTGCTGGAGGCGGGCTAGGCGCCGTGGCGAGGTTAGCAGACACCGGCGGTCTGGGTGGCCGTGCTCTGGGGACCTGAAGTGTCCCATCGGCAGGAGAGGGACGGCACACGCCGAGCCCGTGGGATTCAGGTTGGCTGGGTCTGCAGGGGTGAGGCCCGGAGGGGGGCAGCACTTGCCCTCCCCTGAGCCTCTGGGCTGGGGGAAGGCAGGGGCCGGGGCTTATCCATCTCGAGATCCCTGTCCACAGGGCGGGCCGGGCGCAGGGGGGCATTCGGGATGAAGGAGAGACGGCGGCACAGGACCACGCCTTCCAGACCAGGCACTCCTGAGCCCCCGGGGAGCGGCTCAGAGGGGGGCCCCAACTGGTGGGGGAGGCAACCAGAGGCAAGGAGGAAATATGATAAATGCCAAGACAGGAAAGGAAAGCCCAGGAGGTTCGGGGGCAAGTTGGAGAGGATCCGGAGGCCTTCCTGGAGGAGGTGCCCCTGAGTTGAGTGAGTCATGTGAGGTGACAGGAGTGGCAGGGTTCCAGGGGCAGGAGCAGAGCGGGTTATGGCAGGATGGGGGGACAGTAACAGGGTGGCAGAGTCTACCAGGGCTGGGGTGGCCAGAGTGTGAAGTCCATAGCAGGAAGTGGTGGGCAGTAGGCTGCAAGGAGGAGCCAGGCTTCGCCTGTTCGTGCGCGCCCCCTGGTGGCAATGTGGAGGAAGGGCAGGCAGTGGTCCCAACCTGTGGGGACCCCCAATCCTCGCACCCATGCAGTTGGATTTATCTTTGGCCAGCACTAGGAACAGAACCCCCACCCCACGACCCACTGGCAGTGTTTGCCAGGGCACCTCCAGTGTGTTGGGGCCTGCAGCTCAGAGTGGGTGCCTGAGGAGCCTCACTGGGTGGGTCTGGGGTCAGCTGGGGCGCAGGTGCCTAGAGGGAGTACCAGGGGTCCCCTCAGCCCAGGCTCAGCCCTGCGCCTCCATCCTGGCTTTCTCAGCGCCCTGAAGTGCCCCCCGCCCCCCGCCATGACCCCCAAGCCGGCCCCTCGGACAGAGAGCACAGCCCGGCTCCAGAGGCCCCATCGGCCAGGGGGCCCCAGGGTGTCAGCAGCAGCTGCAGGAGACCCCCACTCCTGAACATACAGTCACCCCACTGGGGGACCCCTCCCCCCCCAGAGGCCCCGCTGGCCCGAGGTCGGAGGTCACCTGTCGCTCCCGTTCCAGGCGCACTCGAACTTGTCAAAGATGCAGTCGTTCTCGTACAGAGAGCACAGCTTGCTCCGCAGGTACTCGTGCACCTGGGGGGGGGGAGGGGCCGGTGAGTGGAGGGGCCCCCGGCGGTCCTGGCCCCGCCACTGGGAGGGCCTCACCGAGCAGCGAGGGGCTGTGCTCCCCGGGTCTGGCGGCCCTCCCCAGCGGGCCCTGCTCGTCGGGAAGGGCCCACAGCCCGGCACGTGGCCCACCCCGGGCTGTGGCCAGAGTGGGGACAAAAGGGACCAAATCCTGGCCCCGCCCCTCCCCAGCTGTGTGACCCTGGACCCGGGGCTTCTCGTCTCTGAGCCTCAGTTCCTTCGTCCTTAAAGCAGTAAGAGTGTACGCCTCGTGGCTTCTTCCGGGACCACGTATGGGACACCGCTGGTGCGGGGTCATGCCCTCTAGGGTAAAGGTCACGTGAGCGCACACAGTGTGACAGCTGTCACTGAGAACGGGAGAGGCGGGAGGCCTGCTCCGAGCCCCATCCCCTAGTGCACAGGCGGCAAACACGAGGCCCGTGGGCCGAATCTGGCCCTCCGCCTTGTTTCATCCGGCCCAGCACCTTGTTTCTACCCAGCAGCAGCACTGAGCTCCTTGCCCCTCGTGAAGGGGTAGTTACATGTATACAGTCCTAACACTACATTCGGCCCTTTGAAGGCAGCCTGGAGGCTGGTGTGGCCCCTGGGGACAGTGATTCGGACACCCCTGCCCTCGGGTGTTGCACCCCCCCACCCCCGCTCACCCGGCCTCTGCCTGCAGCCCCGGCCCCAGTCCCCCGTGCGGGCAGCAAGAGCGGTCCTGTCGCGCCTCTGCTCCAAGCTCCCCTTCTCCCCAAGGTCCCCCTGGCCGTGCCTACTCACCTCTCCGACCTCAGCCTCTTCTTCCCTCCCCTCCCTCACCCCATTCCAGCCAGCTCCCCCATGACCCTTCACCGCGTGAACTGCGCCCCTGCGCCAGGGCCCTCACACAGACCGGCCCCGCCTCCAGGAGCACCCCTGCCCCAGACCGCCCAGGCCCTTACTTCCCTGAGGCCTCCGCGCCCCGTGAGCACGCACGGCTGATGGGGAGGCCGTCCCAAGGGGCCGTGGTGGCCCTTTCGGGAATCGACCCAAGACAGGGGGACAACTGCAGGAAGAAGGGTAGCGGACCAGAACATGCCAGACGTCCTCATGGGCATGCGGCTTCCTGGAACACCCCGTCTGCTCCTCTCAACCTTGTGTCCCTTCCCAATGGGCCCCGTCTGCCCCCACAACACTTCCTGCCCCCGGCCCTGCCAGGGAGAGAAGGCGGAGAGGGGGGTGCAGGGCCCCGACGTGGGTCCTGAACCTGCCACTGCCCAGCTGTGAGGCAGCTCCCACACACCTGAGCTGCTCGGAATCCCAGCTTCCCCGCCTGCAAAATGGGGCTGATGGCACCCCCTTCCCAGGGACAGTGAGGAGCAGAGGGGACAGGTGTCAAGTGTATGGAACCCTGCGCGTACCTTGGTGACACCATGAGGGTTTGGCTGGGGCTTCTCGGGGTAGGGGGTGTTATCCCGTTCACATCTGCACAACCAAATCCTCCTACTCATCCTACCAGGTCCGGCACAAACATCACCTCCTCCTAGAAGCATCCCTGATTTCCCAGCTAAAGGCATGACTGGAAACAGCCTTAAAACAACTTTATAGCAGTCTCATATTCCTTTCAAGTCTCCTGAAGTTTGTTTTCTACTCCCCAACATATCTGAGCAAATCATCACGGAAGGATAATTAATAATAGAGACTTTTCGGGAAGGTGCCCCATGCTCCACCTCACAGGCTGGGTTCACGGGACCTGTGTCGAGGACTGGGACACACAGCATGCTCCCAATTCGCCACCACGTGCACTGAGGACACTCCCCGGAGAGGGCGGAGCCTGCGCCCTGATGGCAGGACCGCCGATGCGGGCTCCGGGGAGGGACGCCACCGTCCACCCCCTCAATCATGTGCACTCATGAACTGGGCCCAGCCCGATGTTCATCTTGCTGCCCTGGGTGCGGGATCGCAGGCCAGCCCGGCCTCAGGGCAGGGGCCGCGAGCAGGAGGCACACAGGTCCCCGAAGGGCCGGGCTGAGCAGGGCCCCCCTGCCCTGGGCCCAGCCACACCCTTCCTTCCTGAGCTCCCTTCCTGAGCCTCTGTGTCTTCGCCTATGCCATGGGCATCCGAAAGCCCCACCCCACTACATGAGAAAGCCCCTCTGTGGGGGTTCTCAGCAGAGGAAAGGGCGGCGGGGGTCTCCCACCAGCTGAGGGGCTCCAAGGGCACCCACGCTGCTGCCCACCTGGTAGGTCTCGATGGGCCTCGCCTCCATGTTCAGGTCCCAGACCTTGACTGTGAGATAGTCCCGGGTGAGCATGTACCGGCCGCTGTGGCTGAACTTCACGTCGGACACGGAGGAGATGATTTCCGAGAAGAAGGAGCGGTTGCTGGGGTCCTCGGGCTCCTCAAAGACTGCGGAGACCGAGAGCCGTCACTGGCTGCTCCTCAGAACGACACACAACCCTGCATGCGTGCTGCGCGGTCACTCAGTCGTTCATCAAACCTAAGGCTGAATCCCTGTCAGGCATCAGCCCGGAACAACCCTACAAAGAGGGAAGCACCAGCAATGTTTACTGAGCACTGACGCTGAGCCAGAGTCCACACGGAGCATTACTTGCATAGAATCCCCGACAAAAAGTAGTATTTTTATTCCCACGTCAGAGCTGAGGAAGCCGAGGAGGCTCAGAGGACGGACAGCCCCGCCAGAGGCCTCAGAGCTGGGAGAAAGGGTGGAGGCGGGGTTTTGAGTGGAGCAGCGCTGGCTTGCTGCTCTCTACTGCCCCCTGGTGGTGATCCTCACTGCGCTCCAGGCCAGTGAGGCGACCCGACCTCCTCCACGTTCTGGACCGTGTCCTGGTCACTTATTGGGGCTCTGACTGGCCCTGGGGCCTCTGTTCGTGGGGTGCTGGGTGCTCGCGGCCGAGCCCTGCTTGCAGGAGCCTTCTGTTTGGCCGCCGTGGGGGCCACAGTGCAGTCAAGCCTCAATGCCCCAGTGGGAGCTCAAGTCCCGTTTGTCACCCACCACCTGCCCCTTATTATTGTACTAGAGCAGCCGCGTCACCCCGGGATTTGCCCACCTGGCCCCTGACGGGGACAGCTTGCTGTCCCTGCTGGGTGATCCCAGTCTGGGACACAGTGCACAGTGTCCCCCGCCCACTGGTTCCCGGGGGGGAAGCAGGACAAGCTCTCCCAAACTCCCGTCCGTGGCTGGCTGTCCTGCCCGTCTGCTCACCAGCGCCCCCACTGGCCAGTCAGATCCCCCAGTGGTCCTGGGGCTGGAGCAGGGCGGGAACTAAGTCCCCCAGGGCCAACCTTGGACTCCTAGGACCTGGCCGCAGGTGAGCCTGGGACAGTGGGGGGGTCTGGGGATGGAGCAGAGGATGGGCAGCCGAGGACCAGCCAGTCTGGAAGGACTGAGACATCTGACCTCCTGTCCAGCTGTCCGCGTGGAGGCCGGCCGAGTGGCTGCCCAGCCTGCCGCCCGTGCTGAGCCTCCAGGCTGAAGCCAGGGGCAGGGGGAGGATCAAACCTCCCCAGAGGCTCACGGGAGTGCCCTCCCAGTCACAAGTCCCCGCCTCCCGCCTCCCAGGACTGTCCCAGCCCTGTAACCCACAGCCGGCCCTCGGTTCTCCCTGCTGTCCGAGGTACACGCTACTCCCGCCGTTCCTGCCTTTCCCAGAGGCATAGCTCCGCCCCCAGCTCCCCTCCGCAGGGTGGCGGGGAACCCTCGGAGCTGATCAGATGCTCGCCTGTAATCACTCACTCACTCACTCATTCATTCACTCGTTCTCTCAGTCCCCCACCCCGCCCTTCACTGGGGCCTCCACCCTGTGCCAGGACCAGGGAGCTGCTGGGAGCGACACAAGGCCCCTGCTCTCCCGCAGCCGACATGCTCCTCGCAGAGACGCACGGGAACACGCAGGGACGTGCTGTTCCGTCCGGCAGTGACGGCGCTGGGAGGCGGAGCCCAGAGGGAGAGTGAGGGGACGGGGGCGGGGGGCGGGGCTGCAGGCGTGGACGAGTAGGCCTCCGCGGGCAGGCTGAGTGAGCGGGCAGAGGTCCCAGCGAAGTGAGCAGGGGAGCCCTCCGGGCAGGCGAGGGGCCTGTGCAAAGGTCCTGAGACAGGGACAAGCCGAAGGCCGGGTAGACGGAGAAAGGAGTGGGCGAGGCCCAGGGAGCCGGGGGCAGGAGGCCACCCGGCAGGCAGCAGGGAGCCATGGAAGGGCGTGGAGGGAGGGGGGCCCGGGGAGCTGCGGGCTTCTCCAAGACTCCCCTCAGGGGGCCTGCTGGTGGGCGGGTCACCGTCGCCCCCTAAAACCTCCGAATTCTGACCGGCCATCTCAGGAAACCACGGTTGGTGCCCTGGTGATAGTAATGACCACGCTGCCACCTCTGTTGACTGCTGCGGGTCCAGACATCCGTAGCTTTTCTTCGCTAAGCCCCGAAGGGATCAGTGGTGTGTCCCTTTTCTCCCAGGAGCCGGAGTAAAGAAAAAAAATCAATACTGGACTACTTCTTACTTTAATAAAATGGACAGTGAGAGTGACCTGACATTGGGAAGGAAGTGGGCAGGGCGCCGGAGAGAAGAGGGACCCCAAATTCTCAGCAGGGGCCCCTGGTTCCTGCACGCCCGCCGCTCGGGGTCAGAACAGCAGGTGAGTTACAGCAGCACAAACCCGGGTCTGTCCCCCGCACCCCGACTGTGAGGGGATCCTCTGCGCCCCCTCACCCTCCTCAGTGGACTTCGCTGGCCAGCCCCCACCAAAGCCACTCGGGCTGGTGGGGTTAGGGTGGGTGGGGGCCGGCTTACAGCCGTGGGTGCACCCACACAGGGTGTCACAGGGCCCCGGACTGCGCCCTCTGTGGCTCCGAGGGTCAGGACGCCGCGCAGGCGAAAGGCCAATGGGAAGACCTGATCAGCAGGTGGGAACAGACCCCGGACGGCCCGCTGTGGCCTCCGTTCCGGCCGCACTGGGCGTGCGTGATGGGTGTTTAAACACGGAAGGATCAGAGCAGAAAAGGATGAATGGGAAGGGATTTTAACAAGCCCAAACTAAAAGTTCTTGTTTTTCTTTTCAAACATTCCTACAAAAATTATTGGCAGGATTTTTCAATCAACTGACAGCAGAGCCTGCCGAGCCCCCTCCTGCGTCAGGCCCCGCCCACCGCCCCTCACACAGGCCACGGTGGGCCTCCTGGGGCATTAAGAAGAGACACGGGGGCCTCCCCTCTAATGGACAGGACCACTGAGGACATTTCCCGGTAATTACTGCTCCCACCCCAGGGCCTCGGCACCCAGCCACAGAGCCTGCCCACCGGCCGTCCCCTCTGCTGGGGGACCCTGCTCTGCGCCTGGGGGTCTGGAGCCTCCCCAGCAGAGTGGTGCTGGGCCTGGTCTTTCCACTCCAGACCCCTGACCGGGCTGAGGCCTGTGAGCACCCCACCCGGCCCCGTTCGGTGGCCCGGGCTCACCCACAGTGCCCCCGAGAGTTCCCGGTTCTCGAGGCCTCTCTGACGAGGAGGTGAGGATGTGCGCAGGCTGGCAGGCAGAGACTACCGGAGTCTCTCTCCGGGCTCGGCCCAGCTGTGTGGCCTCGGGGAAATGTCTCAACCTCTCTGTGCCTCCCTGTGGTCAACTACAGTGGCCCCCCAGGACACGTGCATCCTCATCCTTGGAACCCAGCGTGTGTCGCCCCACGTGAAAAACGACTCTGCGGACGTGATGGAGGGTCCTGAGCGGCGGAGACTGTCCCATTCCCCCCAGGGGCTGCTGTGACCACGGGGGCCCTGAGAGGGGACAGGAGGGTCAGGGCCGGGGAGGAGACGGGTGCTGGAGACGAAGGTGGGCGTGCCACACTTTGGAGACGGAGGAGGGCTGCAGGCAGCCCCTAGAAGATTCTCCCCTGATGCTTCCAGAAGGCAGGTGGCCCTATCGGCGCCTGGGTCCTAGACCTCTGAGCTCCAGGGCTGCAGACGCACCCGCTGGTGTCGTGAGAGCCACCGACCGTGCGGCAGTTTGCTGCGGCGGCCGCAGGAGGGGCGCACACCCGGTCTGCAGAGTGAGCGGCAGGCTCCCTCCGCCGCGGGCTGGCTCCGAGGACCTGACGAGACCCCAGCGCAGCGCAGTGCCGGCGCGCAGCAAGCCCCCGCCGCATGCTGGCCGCGGCGGTCATCTCGCCCAGCACGGGGCGGCCTGTGGCGGGGATCCCGGCAGGGGCGGCGACGGTCATTATCGCCTCTCCTAAGAAATCTCCGTGCTCTGGCACAGCCCGTCCTTTGGCAGACTCGGCGCTGTTAAAAGCAGAAATAACTGTCTATTTGGAGGACTCCTGTACAGGCGTTTCCATGGTTACGCTGTCATGATGACGAGCAGACAAAAGACCTTGATCGCTACTGCTTTGGAGAAAGACGGGAAGCCGTGGGCTGCAGCGGCGGCGGCCGGGCACCCCAGCTCTGCCCTGGCGGGGGTCTGGGGGAGCTGCCGCTCTTCTGGGGGCCTCGGTTTCCTCATCTGCCCGAAGGCAGCACGAACATCCACCTGTGACATGGGACACCCTTCACACAGGGCGCAGGCACCACTGTGTCACCTGCTGGGGAGGTGACGCCGTGAGCATCCGTCTCGGGGTGTCCCTCTCAGCCAGTCCCCAAGCTGGGAGCACTAGCTGGGTGAGTGGACGGGAGACGTAAAGGAAGCTCTCATCTCCAGGTCTCTTTAAAACAAAAGGTCTAGCTCACCTGGCTGGCGTAGCTCAGTGGATTGAGTGCGGGCTGCGAACCAAAGCATCGCAGGTTCGATTCTTAGTCAGGGCACATGCCTGGGTTGCAGGCCATGGCCCCCAGCAACCGCACATTGATGTTTCTCTCTCTCTCTCTCTTTCTTCCTCCCTTCCTTCCCTCTCTAAAGATAAGTAAATAAAATCTTTTTTAAAAAATTGTGCAGAGAGAGTGGAGGAAAGGCAAAGACCAACTTCACCTCTAACGTTTAGGCAAAATCTCTCCACAAGAGCCCTGGCCCCTGAGACATCACACACAGCGACAGCCCACGGTGGCCAGCAGTCACAGCGTCCTTCCCTCCAAACCCTGGCCCTGGCGAAGCCTTCTAGAGCCACAGGGGTGACCCACGCCTCAGCCCCGGCCCCGGCCCCAAAGTTAATACTCACGGCAGCCCTGGGGTCGGGGTGCCGGGGAGGTGGGTTACCAAAAGGGAGGCGATAGCCCTTGCACGTGAGTCTGGGCCGGTTCCCACACAGCTTGCCCGGCACCAGGCCCGGGACGGTTACGTGCCGGGAGGCTGGGCTGGGGTGCACCCCTGCCTGGGAAAGGCACGGGCGTGGCTGCCCTGGGGGGCGGCTGCTCAGCCTGCTCAGACCCCCTGGGGAACCGGACCACGAAGCTACAAAGGCCCAGGCAGGCGGGGCGGGGGGGTGGGGGGAGCTCAGACGTCCCCCTCCAGCCCGCCGGAGAGCGTCGCTGAGACATGGGGCACACAGAACCGTCCGCCCGTATCCCCCTCAGCACGGCCCTGTCTGCCCTCACGGGGCCCTGACTCGACACCAAAACCCACGGCGAGGGTGCAGGTGCAGAGACAGGCGCAGGTCAGGAGGGGAGTGACGACCGCGCCCTCACTCGGGCACTTTTCCTGCCAGTGTTTTCCCTGTTCCCGGTTGTGTGGGCCAGGCAGGCCCTGCCGCGCCTTTTCCCCATGGACTTTTGCCACCTAACCACCGTCCGTGCCATCAAAACCTCCCAAATCAGCATCTGAAACGGCTGAACAGCGTTCCGGTGCACAGGCGTCTCTGCCTGTCACTCCGGTGGACACGCGGCACGTCTGAACCTCGGCCCCCAAAACAAGGAGGCACCGAGACACCTCACCCTTCCTCCCACAGGTCCCCTGAGGGGCAGCGCTGGCCCCGGGGTGGGGACCCAGGGGCGGGGACCCAGGGGGCAGGCGTGGAGAAGGCAGGCGGCCGGCCGGGGGTGCCTGCGCAAAGCTCTCTGCGTCCTCATCACACACCCGTGCGTGTGTTGCAGTCACGGCCAAGGGGGCGCTGAGGTTGACAGCCGGCTGGCCCTGAGCTGGGGGGTTCCTGGGCTGCCCAGGTGCGTGCCCAACGTCATCTCAAGGCCCCCAGAGGTGAGGGGGAGGCCGCGGAGTCAGCCAGCGTGAGGCGGCTGGCTTGGAAGGTGGGGGAAGGGGCCCCGAGCCAAGAACTGAAGGCAGCCCCTCCAAGCTGGAGGAAGGTGAGTGCAGGGATCCCCTCCCCACCACTCGGAGCTTCCAGAAAGGAGCCAGCCCTGCCCGCACCTTGCTCCCGGTCGGGTGAGACCCACCCGCACTTCCGAGCTGCAGGACTGCGGGGGAAGAGCCTGCGGCATTGGGGTCGGAGGTCACCTGCCAGGGCGGTGCTGGGACGTGGACGCAGCACGGGGTGGCTGGCGCGGGGTCATGGGCACACTCACACCGCGGGCACCGTAGGTGGCGCCTGGGCTTCCTGTCCAACTGTTACCAGAAAACTCCCACGCCGTCACCTCCTGCCGGACCCTGCCCCCACTCCAGACACCGGCTGTCTTCTCGGCCCTCCTCGGAGCCCAGTACAGAGGCTGCCACACTTACCGCGTCCCAAACAAGCCTGCCCCGCCCCCTCTGCCCCACCCCCACCCGTGTGCCCGCCTGCGCCCCATGACACAAACCGTGGGGTCACTGGGTCCACACGCCACTCGGCAATGCCTGCCGTCACCACCCTCAAAGAACACCCCACACGGGGCCGCCTCCGGCCTCTGCCGCCCCACCCTGGTGTCCTCCCCCCGTGTCTTCTCTGTGACCGCCTGCAGGGGCTGCCCCTCCCCCACTCCACGCGGACCCTCTGCAGTCACTGCTCCCCTTCAGAGGCGCATCTCACACGACACACCCTTGCTCTGCCCGCAGCCCCCCTCCACGGTCTCACGGTCTCTCTCCCCTTCTGGAACCACGCCCAGTGGGGGGTGACGGGGGGGGCACTTACGCTTGGAGTGCTTGTCGCACAGGGCAGCGGCCCGCATGTCGCACAGGCGCAGCGAGCCCTTGCTGCTGCTGTAGACGAAGAGGTTGCAGTGGTGTGGGTGGAACTCGGACGCGGTGATGACCTCGGTCAGGTCCTCCATGTTGGCCGGCTTGATGTCCACGATGTCTGCCCGGTCAAGGAAGGCGCCCGGCCGCGGAGGCCCCCCCACCCCTCTCCCTGACAGACCCGTCCAGCCGAGCCCCCTCCCCGTCCCCCGGGCTCCAGGACAAACGGCCACCCCAGAGGGTCCCCAGGCTGCGGGCCCGCACACTGAACCACCTGCTGGCTGCCCCTGCTGGGCACCCCTCCGCGGTCCCCCGAAGGCTGGACGTGCCACCTCCCTCTGGACTGGACCTCTCTGCAGCCAGTGCCCACCTGTTGCCCAGCCCACTCCCACCCCGGCAGGGTGACCCCAGAGGCCTCCCCACTCCAGGCACCGTCCCTGTCAGTAGCCCAGCAGGCAGCCAGGGGTGCCAATGGGGTGCCTACTGCGTGCCCGGCACCCGGTGAACTGTGCCTGGGTGCGTGTGAGGCAGCCGGGGGCTCCCCTCCCACCCCCTCCCACCCCACACCACTCCCCTCCTTCTGCACACGGTGTGGGCCGTGGCCGTGGAGGGGCCCCAGGACCTGGGGTACTGGGAGTGTGGGGGGCTGCTCTGTCCTCTCTGCTGGGCAGCAGAGGGGGGGGTAGGTAGGATGGGGGGGCTCGCATCTGCTGCCGTGACAAAGGGAAACCCAGGAGCCTGCGGGTGAGCAGGCAGCCCTGAGGATGAAGGGCAGAGAAAGCTCTGGCGATGCCTTCTGAATCCTGGATCAGGCTGCACCTGAAGCCATGCCCCCTGTGTGTGGGAGCCGTTGAGCCCGCCTCCTGCTTAGGACCAAGAACGTCGCTGCCTGCAAGGGCAGCACGCCTGATGGGCACACGGGCGCCCGGGGAGGGCAAGCAGCCTGTCCGGGTGGCCCAGTGAGAGGCCAGGCTGCTGTCCTGTCCCCTACCGGTTGCTGCGACAGCCAATCGGAACCCTTGGTGTGGCATTCCAGGCTGGGGACACGCCAGCCTCTTGATCTACGTTTTCGACTTACATCCTACTGGTCGATTTGCCCCACTGGCCTTGCCCTCCCCCACCTGCAGGAACCACGACGCCCTTGGCCTCTGCTCTTCCCAGCCCTGCCTGGGGCTCTGCCCAGTCTGCTCCCTCTGAACGAACCCCCTCTTCCCTCCGCACGTGCACGTGGCCCCGGAGTCAGAGTCTGGAGTTCGAATCCCAGCTCGGCCAGCTCCTGGCTGCGTGATCGAGGGTGAGTTCCCCAGTTCTCCAGGCCTCAGTGTCCTCATCTGTAAAATGGGTTCACAGCCCTAACTAACCTCAGGTTTGCCGTGAAGGTTAGAAGAGGCAGGGCCTTGAACCACAGCCTGGCCTGTCTCAGAGTGTCCGCTGCCGCCGTCACTGGCCCCACGGGAACACCAGTGGGAGCTCTGAGATCGCTCCTGTCCGTCCCTCCTCCGCCCCCCGCCCCCAGCCCAGGCTGCTGCCTCTCCCAAGAGACAGAGGCGTTTCCTGTCGATGTCCGCAAGTGGAGAGTCCACAAAACAGCAGAAAAGCCGCTGCGTCCGTGCGGTCAGACGCAGGAGGCGGGTCTCTGTGCTCACGCTCGGGGCTGGCCTCCTAGAAGCGCGCCGCTAACCAGAAACGAGGAATCACACACGAACGTGAGGAGTGGACAGGGAGCCACGTCACCAGTGCCTGAAACGGTTTCCCTGGAAACCGTGGCTTTCTGGTGCCACAGGGAGCAGAGAGGAAATCTCGGGAGACGAGGAAGCTCAAGGCTGACTGGGAACAAGAGCCGAGGCCACCACCCTCGGCCTCGCGGCCCCCCGGCAGCCCCCCGGCAGCCCGGGACTGAGGTTCTCCCGGCCCCGGCGTCAGGGAGCCTCGCTTGCTCTTTCCGAAAAGGGGCTCTGGGGACAGAGGGTGCTGGGGAAGGGCAGCTGTGAAACACGGAGCCTTCGTTTACACCGGACCCTGGTGGGGGGAGGCACAGCCACAGTCACGGTCAATGCCTGTCTCTGCATGTCATGGCCCAGAGCCACGCCCAGCACCCCGGGCAGCACAAGGCCACCTCCCCGGGGGCCACGGCCACCTCGTCCTGGGACGGCCTCTCCGAGACCCCTGGCTCCACTCACCAAGGACCCGGCAGTGCCTGCGGCGTTGCCGCCCCCGGTGCCTCGGGCGTGGGAGAGGCAGTCGTTACTGGGTGGGGCTGTCCCCGTGGAGCCCCTCAGTCCCTCCGTAAAGCAGGGCCCTGAAGACGGACCCCTGACAAGGGGGACAGGTGCGGAAGAAGACTCCGTAGGTAGCGTGACGAGGGTGCCCCAGACAGACACCGCAAACACCACTCCCGGACTCACACTCACGTGGCCACATGCTGGTGAGCCCTGACACGCTTGGTCCCACAGCGACAGTGGGCAGCGGCTCTGACCTCGGCAGTGACCTTGGGCTTTGGCCTGGGCCTCGGGTCTTGGCTGTCTTTGGAACGTCCTGTGCCACTCGCCGAGTCATTTCCGTTCTGCAAGCTTCAGCGTCCCTCACTTGCACCATGGGGCGTGGGCAGCACCCCGGAGTGCCCTTCCACTTCCAGGTCAACCCCCCCCCCGCCCGGTAGCCCCCCGCCTTCCGTGGCCAGCCTCATGAAGGCACCTGCAGACAAGGCTCCGCGAGGCTCCGGGCGGGACCGGCCGCCCTCGGGGACCAGAGTGATTAGACCCGTTTACGAGCCCCGCCCCCGGGAAAGCTGGAGGAATTACTCCCGCCCTGTCTTCCCATCTCCTTGCACTCTGTCTGACGGGCTCTGCTCCACTTCCAGTCCCGCGCGGGCAGGCAGCCAGGAGTGGCTGTCCCTGTGAGGAAAGCTGGGCAGACACAGGCGGGAGGACCGAGAAGCGGGTCGCACCGGGGGAGGGGAGGGGAGGGGAGGAGGGGGAGGGGAGGGAAGCCCAGGCCAGGCCAGGCTCGCCGCCCTCCACGGAGCACGAGGTGCCGTTCTGCCGCGCAGGGCGTGGAGTGACGACCCCACACATCGGTCCACGCCCACCTCCCAGCCGTCAGAGACGCAGAATGGGACTTCATCTAGGAAGAGCACTTCCGCTGATGCAATCGAGGACCCCGAGATGAGATCATCTGGGTTTGGTGGGGGGGGCCCTAAATCCAATGACAAGCATCCTTAGGAGAGACACCCGGATGAGAAGACGAGACTGCAGAGGCGGGGCCTGGGCCCCCAGGAGCTGGGAGAGGCCGGAAGCCTCTCCCCAGAGCCTGCAGGGGGAGCCCCGCCCTGCCCACACCTTCCTTTCCAACGCCCGGCCTCCAGGACGGAGCACATGTCTGGGGTTCTAAGCCTCCTCGTTTGTGGAAATTTGTCACGGTGGCCCTGGGAAACTCAGGCCCCGGGCCGCTGCCCGCAGGCAGGAGAACCCCGAGTGGGCGTGAGGCTGGCCCTGGGGACAAGTGTCTCTCCACCCTCCCTACACTGCTGCTTTCACCGGCACTCCGTGTCGGCTCCCCCGGCCCTGGGCCGCCAGGCCAGGGATCAGGGGGCTTCCCACCCTTCTTCCCTCTCCCTCCTTTGCCACATCCGAGGGCCTCCGAGTCCAGGGGTCCCCTGCGCCGGAAGATCCCTGCCTCTGGCTGCCCCCCGTCTCAGCCAGAGGGAGCCCCCAGAAGCAGGCGTGGGGCTCCCACCGCCCCACGTGGTGGCCTCCGCCCTGTCCCCAAGAGAACTCGAACACCTTGCTGGGCCTACGAGACAGTCCTGATCACCTGACCGTAGCTCGGGCCACACCTTGGGGACGTAGCAGAGCTCAAAAACAGGGGCCTGCCCACCCCGGAGGGAAGTCTGCGACTCTTCCTGCCAAGGACGCAGGGACGGGACGGGATGGGACTCAGGCGGGCCTTCTGCACAGTCAGCAGGTTCCAGAGATTTTTACAGAAACTCCGTCATCTCCCACTGCCAAGGGCAGCACGCAACACCCGGCAGCCACGGGGCTTCCCCCAGCACCGTGCAGCGTCGCCAGCCCGCGGGCCCTCGGTCCCTCAGCCATGCGGATCCCAGACGGCGGGCCGAGACGTGTCAGCGGGGAGGCCACTGGGCCGCACCTCCGTGAGCCTTGGCCCCCCTCGCCTGCGAGAGGCACGGGGACAGATGGCCACCAGGCGCCCACTGGGCCCGTCTCTGCTACTGGCCACAGAGTGGGTCGAGCACGGGAAGTGGGCAAACACGGCCGGTGCGTGCTGCAAGGAGCTCGCGTGAGGAGGGGCGGGGGGCAGCAGCCCGCACACCCCAGGAAGCGCACGCACGAGCAGTGAGGGGCGTCGCGACGGGCTTCGCGGGGACGCCTCCTCGGCGGGTCGCTCTGCAGTGCGGCGCCGGCCTGAGCCTGGAGCCACGGGCAGCCCCCAGGAGCTGCGGAGCCTGGCACCGCAGGAAGGGGCCCCCACGCCCACCCAGGGAGGACGCGCCCAGCGCTGCACACGCAGGTGGCAGAGCAAAGGCAGAACCCGGCTTTCCCCTTCCGGCCCCTGCCCCTCCCCCTGCCCCTCCCCCTGCCCCCCTGTCCTGGAGTGCTGGCGTCTCCCCAGCATGCAGCTCCCCCAAGAACGCCGCTGCGGGGCTCGCTGGACCAGGTCGTGTCCTCTGCGAGGTGGACGCTGAGAGTGGGCGGAGGGCTCGGGGATGAGAGCATCGTGGCCTTGGGCTCCATCGATTTAACGGAGCAAGGCCGGCTTCGCCCAGACGTCTTGGCAGGAGCACGCTCTCGGGATGGGAGGGGCTGTTGCCATGGCGACAGAGCCACAGAGGAGTGAGGATGGAGCCAGGGCCACCAGGGGCCTCCCACGCTGGCCCCCGGGGATGCTGGCGGTGCAGGCGCCCGCACACGGGGGCGGTCTCGCTGGGGCACAGCCAGCCACACGGCTCTCTTTCCAGCAAACGTTCTCCGAAAGATGACCTGGCTGCAGCAGCGGCTGGGCCCACGCAGGCCAAACCACGTCGGACGGATCGGAGGCTTCCTAGCACCCGTGCGGCTGCGCGAGGTTCACGGGCTGCCACGGGCGGCCGGACGCCACGGC